GAAACCAGCCTAACTGTACAATTTTGACTTATCCATTGGAATCCAAGTGTGGGAGTACAGTGGCCGATTTAGGTCCAAATAGTTTAGTTTTTTTTTTTTTTTTTTTTTTTTTTAAATTTTTTTTTTTTTTTTTTTTTTTTAATGGTAGCACATGTGCATGCACATGAGAGAGACTGAGAGAGCGAGAGAGAGAGTCGGGGTCTCGCTGCACTGTGCTCCCCTTCCCCAGCCCCTTGGTTCCTGGGCACCCACGTGCATGCCCTGTGGTTCCCAGGCCAACCGGGGTCTGAACCATGGCTAGCCGCAGGCTCCCAGGCTCACAGGGCACTTGCCTTATTGTGGCGCCCGGAGCTCTGTCCTGCACACGGGGACAGGCATGAGGACACCTTAGCACCAGGTCCCACTCACGGAAGGATCCAAACTTTGCCCTGAGGGATGGTGGTTGTACCCCAATCCTGAGGCTGTGAGGAGTAGGCTTTTTTCTTTTCTTCCTTGAGGGTACCAAGCTACAAACAAGCCCTGTTTTTGAGCCAGACTCCCCACTGGAGCAGAGCTGCCCTGGCGACTTCTGCTCTCTGCAACCTTGGTCTCAAGTCCCGGTGTCATCTCCTCGCCCTCCTTATAGACCCAGCTCTCCCCCGGCCCCAGCATGGAACCACTTGTCCTTGTCCCATCCGGGAGCCAAGGTGCCCATGGACACTAAAGCGAGAAGGGGAGCCTGACATAGCGGGCTGTCACAGTGATGGGGTCCTGGTCACTGCTGCCTTCTGTCATGAAACACACCTGGAACAGCAAATCCACAGAGACAGCCTGGCCTGACGAGACCTCGGCCGGCGCGGCGAGACCCGGGTCTGATCTGGCTGCCGTGGCTTTGGGCAGCTCACTCGAACCCCCTGGGCCTGTACTCCCCACCTGTCATAGAGGAATATGGAGGACTCTGGGACCCCTTCCCACTGAGCGTCCCATGCCTGCCTGTGTCCTGGGCTTGGGCGGCAGGACACAGGCCGCAGCAGGACTGGGCCAGGCGTGGCGAGACCAGGGTCTGATCTGGCTGCCGTGGCTTTGGGCGGCTCACTCGAAGCCCCTGGGCCTGTACTCCCCCACCAGTAATAGAGGAATATGGAGGACTCTGAGACCCCTTCCCGCTGGGTGTCCCATGCCTGCCTGCGTCCTGGGCTTGGGCGGCAGGACACAGGCCACACAGGTCTGGGCCAGGTGGGCATAGACGCTGACGTGCCACTCAGAGAGGATCTGGGGTGGGCAGTGGCCCCAGAGGGTAACTGCTGTCCTGGTCTGGAGGGGCCTGGTGCTTCCGGGGTTGGCAGGAGCAAGCTGCCCCGTGGGCCACAGCAGAGTGCCTGCTGGTCAGAGGGCTGGGGCGATGGCAGGTGGCGGTCAGGAACTGCTCTGCCCCTGTCCCCGCTGGTAAAGGACGTGGTTCTCAGTCTTTCTACTCTGGGCACATTTCTGAGCCCAGAGTACAGAGAGGGCATGCCCAGGAGAGGAAAACCCATGGGGCTCGTTGCTCTGCTCTCTAGTGACAGCCCAGCCAGGAGGCCGGCGCCGCTCTGTCCCCCAAAACCCTCCTTACTCTCAGAGCACACTAGCGCAGAGCTGTTCAGCTTTCTTGGTCCACGACACAGTGAAGCGCATTTCTGTGTGCGTGTGCGAGTGTGAGTGTGAGCAACAGAAACACAGGTTTCCTGAGACAAAGCGCTGCGTCGCGTGACCCTGGCTCGGTTTGGCGGTGGCACGTTCTTTTCCTTCCTTGGTGTCGTGTTGCTCCTCCTCTGAGCGCCGTGTGTTCTGGTCTGTGACGTGCTGGAACAAGGAGAGAGGACCCTCGGGAGCCGTGGGAAGTTTCTGGGAACAGTCCCGCACGTGGTGTGGTAAATACGGACCTTCGAGATCCCACAGGTCCTCCCACTCAGCTGGAAACCGCTGTGCCCGACGTCAGCTCCGGGCCAGGTCCCGAAGGCATGTGCTGGGGAGGGCCAGCAAGAGGGGCTTGGCCCTCCTTTTCGGAAGCATCCTCTTCTGCATGAGGTCCCCGAGAGGAGGCTGTCTCCAAACCAGCCAGAAACTCTATGACCACCCAAATGCCCCTGAGGCCCAGTTTTATTCTAATCTCAGGGTCCCTCCTGCGTTGACTTCGAGCATCATCAAACCTTCTCAGGTTCACCCTGTGGGAGACAGGAGGAGGGCGGGTGGAAGACCTGCCCAAAGCACAGGAGTCATGTACCAGAGGGCCGGTCCCACGGCGTCCCCACCCTCCCCTTGTTGGGTTGTCCATCTAGCAAGTGGGAGGCCCCATGGCTGACGCGTGTGGAGACTCTTGGGTGCCTTCCCTTCGTAGTAGGTGCCCACAGTGGGTCCAGCTCGAAGTGTTTAGGTGGCTGCTGGTTTGGCATTTTCCTTGTAGTGTGACAGCCCTCTCCAGAAACCCAGAGCTGACCTTCTCGGAACCATTTCTAAAGTCCTTCTAGGAAAATTACAGGACGTCAGAGCCCCAAAGAGCCCTGTCCCCCCTCAAATAGAGTGCTCACGTGCTCAGCCTCCTCGCTTCAGAGGCCTGAGCGACACCAGCTGCCCGAAAACGTCATCCTTACCTCGAGGCCTGGGTGTCTGCACGCACTGGGCTGCTGTGGGTCACACATACCGTGGCTTGGTAGTCTCCTGGTGGTGGTTTGGGGGAGGGGAAAGATGAGCTCTCATGGCCTCACTGTACAGATGGAAACCGAGGCTCCCAGAGGCCGAGACCTCGCGCCACACATAAGATGTTAAGGGCAGCCAGCCTCGCAGCCTTGTGGTTAGGGACCTAATCCCACGTGGCCGACCATGGTTCAAATCCTGGCCCAGGCAGCTTGGAAAACACTCTGGGCACATGAGCACGCATGCGTCAGACCCAACAGGATGGAGAAGTGGAGGAACAATGGCAGCATGCCGTGCCCCGTTGGGGGGTTTTCTCCCTCTCTCCCTCTTTTTTTTTCTCTCTCTGGTGAGTGCACAAGCCCTCTGGCAATTAAAAAATAAATAAATAAATAAAGATGCCAATGCAGCTGAGGGGAGAGTCGAGGTCTCCTGAACACTCTGACGAGGACTCCGGAGCTTCTCAGTTTGAGCGAAGAGGAGTTGAAGGCCTGGCCGGGGACTGTTGGAGAAGCCACAGCGGCATTGGGCCGGTCAGGGCGGAGATGTGGGAACGTCATGGGACAGGCATTTCCTTCAAGTCAGGGAGGGTCAGGCTGCCAGCTGGGGTCATTGGCCTCAGAGGCAGGGACCTCCAGGTGGGGAAGGATGACCACAGGAGTGAAAACCAGTGGCTCTCCTCTGGCATCAGGGAGCCTCCCCGACTGCACTCAGAAACCGTGTGCCCTGTGGATGGTCAGTGGTTCTGGGCCGTCTCCGAGAGCCCGGGGCAGGCCTTCCCTGACTTGGCCGCCGCTCCTGCCCCACGGCCTGGTTCCAGGGGCAGGGCCTGTTCCCTATTTCTCTGGGAGTGATTGCACAACCTGGGCGTTTGTCAAAGGCTCCAATTGACCATGCCCCCCCCCATCAGTACCAAGAATTGCCCTCTCAGCTGCAAGGAGGGATTGCGCAAGGTGGCTGCTGGGCACTCCCCATCCGCACCACCCACCTGGGGGCTCGCCAGCTGTCTCAGATAGGCACCTTGATGCTGCAAGAATAGCTGAGGTCCAGGCTGAGGGCCGTGGGGGCTGCTGGCCCTGCGGTGGCGGAGAGAGGGGCGGCTGCTCAGGTCCGTGAGCCAAGGGGGCCTCTCCATGTGTTCGCGCTGGCATTCTAGGTCCTGTGGCTGCAGGGCCTTGGGAATTAACGAGAAACCAGAAAGGTCAGCACTCGAGAAGCAGATGAAGACGCACATTGGAAAGCCAGAACACAGCCACCCTCCTCAGCCCATCTGTGAGCACCCGAAGGAAGTGAGGGGCCCCGTTTCCCCTTGGTAGAGCCCTCTGTGCACTGGGACACTCAGGCAGAGACCCTGCAGCTCCCGGGAGGGGCCTGGGCCGCGGAGTGCAGGAGCAATGATTTAGCTAACTAAGGCCTGAGAAGAAGGTGCCTTTTATTCCAGATCTATTAGAGCAGCCCTCCTTTGAGAGGGCCCCGATCCCACCTGCTGTTTAGTTCAACGGGTGAAACCAGTGACCAGGCGCTAAGAGGCGCCTTTAGGAATTACCTGGCTAACCCCTCTCCCCGGACAGGGCAAGTGCTGGAGTCCAGACGTGCCCAAGACCCCACCGTAAATGACAGACTTTGACCTTGCCTTGGGCTCCATCTCTGCGGACAGGAACAGGCTGGGTGCTCCTGTACCTGAGGCGGGTGGGGTCTGTGGATGCCAAGACGGGATCCTTGACTCAGTGGCTCCCCGGCCCAGGGAAGCGCCAGATGGTCGGCCCCGCGGGAGCGGAGAATGAAACCCCTCCTAGTCGTCCTCGGTGGGAACCGGACAGGAATGTTCCATCATGACCTGACATTCAAAACCCCTCGCCTGCCCTGAGCTGGGGGCCATGGCCCCTGATGCTGGCAGGCTTTCTGTTTGTCCTGGATTTGCACTTTTGTCATCTTCTGTCTGGGGTGTCCCAGCTGCATCAACAAGGGAGTGCTGTAAGAAGAACTGGAGCCCTGAGAGGTCAGCGCTGCATCTCGCCCACACTCCCTCCGCACCTATGCTCGGGGCCGAGGCCTGCGGGGCGGCCGGCCTGCACCACTGCACCGACTGTCGGGGACGTTACAAAGGAGGGGTAGGCCGGGCCGGGGCCGCTGTGTAGACTCCTAAGTACACACGGTGTGGGCAGAGCTGGGATGGGCAGTGACTGCGTTTGGCCTTGGGGTAGTTGAGAGTTTCCTGTTTTGCACAACATCAGCGCCAGCCCCTTTTAGTTAGGAGCTTAAAGAGGAAGTTAGTACTTCAGCAGCCCTGGGGCCCCCTCAGCGAGGAATACACATCTTCGCCGGCCGTCCTAGCGAGGCCCCTCTGTGCCTAGGATCATGGTTTTGTATGGAAGAGTTGCGCATCCTCACGGCCTCTGTTCCAAGCGTTTGGGCTCCTGGAGCCGAGCTGTCCCGAGGAGGTGGCCGAGCATAGCAGGTCCAGCTTGAGCTGGGATCGGGTGGCCCTGCTTGCTAGGTCTGGCTTTGGGCACATGGCTTAGCCCCATTGGCCCTCAGTATCTACTGTAGACTGAGATTCACATGGGTCAAATGAGGCAGCAATGGGGAGGTTTTTGTTTTGTTTTAGACTTTTTGCCATAGAGCGTGTGCCGTGCACTCACTGGAGAGAGACAGAGACAGACAGAGGGAAAGTGAGAGTAATCCCCAGTGGAGACAGCCACACTGCAGTCCCTTCTCCTCCATTCTCCCGCTGGGATTCTGGGCATGCACACGCGTGTGCCCAGTGTGATTTTCAAGCTGCCAGGTCTGGGACTCGAACTGTGGTTGGCGCTGTGGGAGTCCAGTACCTTAACCTTCGTGCCAAATGCTGACCCCATGGAGAGGTTTAAGAGTGACACTAGTGTCAGATCGACTGATGATGTTTCTGGGACTTGGGGCTTTCTTCTGAGTTTGTGGGTGAGGTTGGGGAGGGGCATTGGTGAGCTGCTTTAGGGCCAGTCTCCATCCCGGGATGCCCACCAGGGGTGTTTCTCTTTTGCCCTGGTGCCTTCAGGTTCTGTAGAACTAGATCCTGTGAGCTCGCTTTCCCCAGGCCCTGATAGCCGTCTCTGGAACACGCGGGCAGTCTCAAACATGCCGCGGACCGTGATGAACATGGCAGCACTCAACTGCTGCTCATGGTCTCGGCGTCTCCTGGTGCCCAACATTGCCCAGGGGAGTGACCGCTCAGCAAAGGAGGGTCTGCCAACGGAGCCCTGCTGCATGCGGGGATTCAGGGCCCGGCCAGGAGTAGATAGCGGCAGGGAGGTGAGCACGAGGCTCCGGTAGGAGTCCAAAACCTAGAGGCCTCGTGAACAGGGCAGGCTCCAGGAGCCAGGCCTTCTGGAATGTCCATTGAGCTGTGAGGCCAGGCCCCAATTAGCCCATGAGCTAATAGTCTTGTTGCCGTAGTTGCAACCAGATTGGAGATTTTGCCACACCGGCCCCAAGGTGCCTCGTGCTCCTGGTGAGTGCTGGGAATGAGAGCCCCGATTAGGATCAGGGATGCAGGGAGCGGAAGCCTTCCAGAAACCCACCCCTCATGCCAACAGACCTCCCTGTTGGACTGCAAGGCCAAGCGGGGACACGCGCTTGGTTCTGCAGCTGACTTGAGCTGACACTCCTCAGCTGGCTCGGGGAAGTAGCTCATGGGACCGTCCACTTGCTGTGGCTCCCTGCTGGGGCCTGCAGGCAGTCTGAGGCAGGAGTGAGGCCAGAGTCCCGTTCCGAGCTCTTCCCAGACCATCTTGACATGAGTCACTTACCCTCCTGGCCTGGGTTTCTTGAGCATAAGGCTTGCCGGGTTATCCTTGGAGGATCAAATGAGTACTTGCCAAAAGGCTTTGACGTGTGGAAACCGCTGTCACTGAACACGTTGGAGGGTAATGATCATCTGAGAGCACGGAGGAATGTACTCATTAAAACCAGCGATAAGAGGGAACCAGCAGTTAGCATAGTGGCTATGTTGCTGGACTCCCACGTAGTCAACCGCGGTTCGCGTCCTGGACCTGGTGGCTTAAAACTCATGCCGGGTGCATGTGCGTGCGTGCCCAAGATCCCGAGAGGGAATGGAGGAGAAGGGATTGCGGCGTGGCCATCCCCCCTGGGGGATGATTTCTCGCTTTCTGTCTCTATGTCTCTCTCTGTCTGGCGAGCGCAC